TGAATGATGAATTTTAAATTTCAAATATTTAGACTACATAGTTGTAAATTAATCTTGCTTTTGTGTGTGTATCTACAATTTTGGCTTCTTGTAAATGTAGTCAAGTTTGTTATTGGTGGTTTTGTCTAATTTTCAGGATTAGGAGATAGATAAGTTGATAAAGGGCTGTAAGTGAAAATGTCTTCCTCGAGTTCAAATAAACAAGGAAATCTGGGTTTGAAATATGGGTATTGTCTTCCTTTTTGAAACTGTTGACCCAATCCTAAAAACAAGAATAGGGTCGCTTGTAGATTTTGCTAAAAGGAGTATAATGCTGGCATTAATCGATTAAGAAGCATTGGCCGGAAAGAGAGGGGACGTAGCGCCATGTACTCAAGTCCCTGGAGATGTTAGGAAGGATATATCAGATCTTATAGAGGGGTCTAAAACAAGAGAGAAGAGACAATTTAACAATATGAAGACATTAGGTGATTTGTAAATATCTATGGAATAGAAGACAAAGATGAAGATGAAGACCAAACACCATTGGGCATAAGAGACCTCAAAGAAGGGGACTTATTGATACATTATTCCCCCTCTCCCAATCCTGAGGTGGTAGTTCAAGAAAGGGCGCAGGCACAAACTAATCAGGAGAGTCATTTGAAGAAACGGGATACAAAAGCGTTAATCAGCATGCGGCACAATGGTACTATCAAGCAGGTCTGTCATTTAATACTGCCAGTTTGAAGAGTTTACAAGCTATTTGGAGGTAGTGGGGCAGTTTGGCCTTGGATATAGGGCCCCTGCACCTTATGACCACAATGTTCCTTTGTTAAAAAAGAGGTGGACCCAGCAAATGAGTACCTGAAAATTATGTTTGATCTGTAGTTCTAACTTCTGAACAATAAATTATATACATTAAAAAAAAAAACCATGTTTATTAAACACAAAAAATGGAATTCTATACTCAAGAATGGGGAGAATCCAACAATCAGCAAGGATCTGCACATCCCCCCACCACCACCACCACCCTCTTTCATAATAGTAGGATGATGTATACAGCCTGCTTGAGTAACAAAAGGAATATAAAACAAACCGTATTTAAGTATTCCATCTACTCAATTTAATCCATTTCAGTTCGATAATTGGTGATCTTTGATTTCTTGTGAGTGCTATTTGGGGAAACAATTTAATTTTTGTAGATTTTTTAAGGTAAAAATATGTCTTATTTAAACTGCCACGGAGTAACAGAGCATTAAAAATATTTTTCATTAAGTTAGCGAGCAATTTGGAGGGTACTGCCCTGTTGTATATATGTGAAATCAGTGCAAAAACTATATACAAGGACCGAAATGTAAGGAGCTCTCAAAAGCTCACTATATACGAATGATCTCACTACATAACTCAAAATGCACAGTCAAGACTCTAGGTGTGAAGCAGAAAGCTCCCACCTCCCATAGATAACATTTTCATTATCATTATTTGGGAATGCTAGTACCCAGAATGCTATTTCTGATTTTCCAGGTTATTTTTCTCATCACCTCTTGAATGGATTGGGTTCGGTTTTCATTTGCCCTCTAGTTTCTTTCTTGACAAGTTACCCATATTACAATAGGGAGGAGACCCTCCACATGTAATCAAGAAATTTGTACTTGTTGGAAAGCTGCTTTTTAGTCCAATTGCCTATACTATGTGACCATTGGATCTCCACAACATTATTTGATGAATGTGTTGGGCAAAGTAACAAGTGACGAACAAATGCTCATGGCTCTCGCTCTCACATTTGCACATGTAGCAAATGATATCCACTTAAAGTCCCCATCTTTGGATTCCATCATTAGTGATTAGCCTATTTTGGTACGTCAACCATGAGGCCTAAGGATAAACTGGGTTTCCGTACACCCGTTACTTTCTAATCACCTTATGGACACTCTTAAGAGAAGTCTCCATTTTAAGAGGTCACCCAGGAGATCTCTTCTGCCCCATAATTTCCTATTACCTGCTGGCTATGCTTTTTTATGACCGGGAGAGTGCCATTTATGCCTTTTCAAACCCATGAGTCTCTCCTTGGTACTCCAAAATTCCAATGCTGGTGTCCAAAAATACTTTTTGTTTGAAAAAAAAACTATTGCAGACCACAAGGAATCTTCAATACTAGCCAATTCCCATCCTAGCTTGGCTAATAGGGCTAAATTGAATTTTCCTTTATTCTTTTCATATCAAGCCCACCTTCACTCTAGGGTTTACAAACTAAGATCCAATTAACAAGGCTTGGATGTTTCTCGCTGAGCTGGTTGCCCCAATGAAAGTTCCTTCGAAGGTTTTCGAGGGTATTGCATAGAGTGAAGGGGAGCTTGTATATAGAATATCAATTGGGGTGAGCTAGGATTTATGAGAGCTAGACGTTCTGGGTATGAGAGACTCTCAATTTTCCATCCTTTTGAGTCTAGCCATGAATATATCTAATAGGGTTTGGCAATGTTGGTTTGTGACTTTCCCTTTGAATAGTGGTAAACCAAAGTAAGTTTAGGGTATGTCCAAGGGTTTAAAACTCAAGTAAGCACAAACTTTCGGTTTTAATAGAGTTGGGGTGGAAGAATATATTTGTTTTGCAATGGTCTTTATGTAGTCTGGAGAAGTTTTGAAAGTGCTCAAAGGCGGTTTAAGAGAATGGTGGGTTTGTGGGTTAATTTTTGCAAAAACAGCACTAAAAGAAAGGAGCCTAGTTTGACACCAACAACAGTTTACGGGATTTTCAGTTTACATGATTCTTGAAACATGGGTATCTTTCGGCATATATGAATGGTACAACCAAAAACCTAGACATGATGAGGCACTGGCTGATTGGGAATCTGGTAATATCATGACTGTTTGCTGGATTCTTGGCTCTATTGGTGGCAACATTGACATATTCAACTCGACACAACTTAATAAATCCGAGATTTCTGTTATCAGATTTATCTTCATTGGAACAATGCACATCAATGCACATCAATCTCCATAAGACAAGCTAGAACTCAAACTCATGAAGTAAGTTCATTCAGGAATTATACATTTCAATGTCCTTCACATGCAATGAGTTGCCCACAAGGAACCTACCTTTCATTCCGAAGTTAAAAGATTCATATGTATTGGACATATATCCATAAACAGTAGCAGAAGTTTTAATCCCTCGCTCGGGGATTCTCCTGTTCTGATTCCCATAAATACATGAATGGGAGAGTTGAAGAAGCTACCTTGAAGCTTTGCTTAACCGTTACTAGAGTTGGAAGCTTTTCCATCCCCCGGTATCCTACGAGCTTGATGGTTGCTCAAAAGCTCTTACCAAATGAGCATATGAACCTGGCGCAAGGACCAGGAAGGTGAAAGAGAGATGGCTAGAGCATGCAGCACTATCTCTCTTTCCTCCCCAGAACATTCTCTCTAAGGCAATGGGGTTGCACGTGTTCTCTCTCTCTCTTTCTAATGGGAATCAAGTTCTTCAGCAATATGGAAACACATAACAAATGGAAACTCATGCATATTAAAATGCGTCTTTATCCCTCATAACAAATCGAAACAGGTGCACGTTCAAATGCGTCTTTGTCCCCCATAACAAATGTTGAATGACCTTTTTTTATTACATAAACATGAGTTTCCATCCTAAACGAGGCTCCCTCAGATTGTCCCATCTCAGAAATTAGGCAGTATAGGTTTCACTCAACCCTGTGAACCACCCTCATCTAAACTGAATCACAAGTCCGTCAGGGTGACCCACATTACTCAGGCATGTAATGCAATAGCATTAGCTTCCTTTGACGACCTCAAAAGTAGGGTACAGAGGGTTTGAAATGTTTAACACCAACCAGCAAGCTTTTCAATGTTGACTTTGTAGCCCTACCAAGGTAGTTCAGTAAGTTCAGGTATAAGTAAGGGTTGTCCAAGGCTTTTGGACTTTTGTTATCTTCAGAACCTCTGGTAATATCAAATGCACCTCTATCTACTATAGCATTTGCACTCAACAAAATTTGAAGTGAGAAAGAATAGCAACAGGAAGTCACTAAAGAAAATCACTCAAACGAACAGTTATGTAACTCCAAGACAAACAGCAATAACTACCACCTGACTGCTAAAATAATTTTCCCCTCTGGAAGCTACATTATACAGAAGGAAGTGAGCAAGCAAGTCCATTTAGATTCCAAACATACAACAACATCAAAGTAGTAAGTTATGCTAAAATTTTCAAGAAACAATAATTAGAGCACTTCATGAAAGAAAACACATGATAATATACACATTGGATTTCATGGTTCTTAGGAAACAAAGAATTTCAATCTTGATCATACAGTTCAGAGGGCGTCTCACTATTTAAGTTTTAAAGGGGCTGAAAGTTTGGGCATATACACTTCTCACCCTCACTACAAAAAAATATAAGTAATAAAGAATAAATGACTATCTACAATGTTGCAAGGATATTTTGGTCACTTTTTTAAAGAATTATTTTGTATATTTCATGTGCTCCCAAATGAGATGCGTGTGCACTCAAAGTTTCAGCCTGATTTGATCTGTAAATAAAATAAAATTCAAATAATGACACATGCTCTAAACAGTCTGATCAAGTTTTGGAGACCGGCAGGGTCATCGAATTCTGCAGAAATTCGGTAACCACCTAAAGGTATTTTTTCTAACTATATGTGTGTGTGTGTGTGTGTGTGTGTGTGTGTGTAGGAAAAAGTTTATAGAGTGTCAACCTTATACTATAGAAATTAGGCACACCTCAAAACCCATCATCTGAAAAGGTCGTTTTGACATTGAAAATTTTTCCAATTGACCATCTCGAGGTCAAAACGCATGAATAAGAAAAAGAAAAATTGATTTCAAGTTCTAAAAATTAATGCATAGACACGCAATGTAATTCTAATTCCTAAACAATCAGAAAAGCTAAAAGAAGAAAATATGAGTGTGCTATTTTCATTACATCCTTCGAGTTACATCACATTCATTTGACAAGAGAGAAAATTGCATAAAAACTGTGTCTTCACCTTGATGAGAATAGCCAAATATGGTTTGTTGGTAGACGCCACTTCCGGCAAAAAGCAATTATATCCGATGTCGAGTAGAATTTTGGTTTTCCCTTTCCCAACTCAGTTACAGCAGTCACAACCACTAGCAATCACAATGTAATCTATCAGAATTAGGCATTCATGGGAAGATAGAAGTAACATATCTATCAAGATTAAAGGGAAAAACAATCATACACACTATTTTTTAAACAATAGGAAACTAATGAAACACCAAAGTAAATGTAAAGCACATTCCTATGTTTCTTTGGAATCTTCATCAAGCAACCCCAATTCTACACATCCATACCAATATGCAAGATTAAGTTTGGTCCTGCTCTTGTTAGAATAATAGAATTGTTAGCAATTTTGCTCTTGTAAGATTTCCATGTAGACATCTGTATACTTCCAGCCAGAAAAGATGCAACTTTTTGCAAACCTACCCTTCATTTCTACGTAGAGGAAGCCATTTCTCTACTTCATTTTGGAACTCACCAAATGTCCCCCAAGAATTTCAGAAATGCATCTTTGTCTAAGCAAAGCTTAAAAACCCAAGACTCGATTAAGGACACAGCTGACTCACGAGTGAACTCAACTACCCGAATATCTCATGAAACTCAAATAATCTAATGAATCATAGTCAGATGACTTGGTAATCTCTTGTGAACCTCGCCATGGTCTCACTACTCAACATGATTTAAGTCAAGAAAACAGTCTCTCATTTCTCATTGTAAAACTCAGCCAAGTTCTTACTTTTTCTATTATCATTCAAATTTGTCATAAAAAACAGAGTTTTTACCATTAGAATTTTTCCGGTGCTATCCAAAGTTTCTGTCTGGAAGCATCAACATTGCCGGGAATTTTTTACAAACCTCTTGGTAAAGGATAATTATTTCCAAAGTCAAACCGCTACAGTATTTTTTGCTGTGGTTTGCTTTTGAGGGAGTGATTTGCGGACGATAAAGAAGCCTAAATATGCAAGCAACCATTCACTTGGGCTTAGATTTTGTCATTGGCAATTGATTTGGATTAATTGTTGACTTTTTTAATATTTGACCAAAAAGGTAAAAACCTACAATTTTTTATTATTTGGTGGAGGGGTGGGGGGGGGGGGCTACAATTTTTCATGAGTTACTTCCATAGTTCTATCATTTTTTTATAGTCTTATTGCCCACTTTAGAAACTTTCAAGGATCTAATTTCTCAAACTATTGTGAATGAACTTTTAGATGACTTTATTAGTAGTCTTCAAGCTTTTTTATACATTTAGGTACAGACTCATGCAAGACTCCAATAGACTTAGATAAGACTCAATCCAGACTAAACAAAGGCTCAAACAAGAACCTTAGTTCCTTATTCTGGAGTTATACATTAAAACTCAAAATAGTCTCAGATAACAAGTTAATTAGATCTGTAGCCCCCATGTGCTTACAAATTTCAAACTAAAGAATTTAAGTGAATCCACCAACCAGAAGAAGTGCAAGATGCACAGATCCTTTTCTATTGTGGATAAGAATAGCATATTTGAATTTCATACCAACAATCAAGCAGTTAATAGTTCATTAGCTCTCTAAGGCTTCCGAAGTCAAGAAATTTTGTTGTCTTTACTAGCAAAACACCCTCCTTAAGGAGCTCAAGTAGCCCATTGTTGCCTCTTTATCATATTTAATATAATTAGCCAATATTCTTTATTAATATTTATTATTGCAGCAAGGAGATCAGCATTTATAGCATTGCACTGCTAACACTTCAATACAACTATCGAACTACTTGCACTTTTATAAATTTTTGTCATTAGACTATTTTTTGGGAAGGAAAATTCTATTCAGAAAAATTACAAAATCCAATAAAATCTCACAGGACGAAAAAATTCAACGTATTGCATTCTGATGTCCATAGGTTTTGGTGGGAAACTTAACGCAATGGGCAGGGCACTATATTGGAATAGAGATGAAAAGAACCCTGGTATCTTTTTAAACTCCATAGCATTAAGAGGGAATGCAGTGGTCGCGACAACATAAAAAGTGTTTGCAAACATTGCCAACACCGTCCTATTGACCGCTATAGAACCCCTAAGCTAGAGTGTTTTTTTATGCAATGGAAAGCTCTTTTAAACCAGACAAAGTCAAATTTCCTTGCTTTACTGGATAATCCCAACATAAAAAAAACACCCTCACCTCACTCAAAAGAGTCCAAAGGTTATGAATGTCCGTCAACCACTAACCAGATAGCCCACTGTAATTAGAGAGACAGACTTCACCCTTTCGAAGAATCTATTCACTAATCATTATCGTATGCGGCTCAAAAGGTTTAATCCATAACAGTTAGGACTTCATGCATATAGTTTCAGAACCTCTTTCAACCACCTTCCACATGTAAACAAACTTTTAGAGGCAAAAAAAAAAGCTGCAGACTGCACCCAAATGGTTGTATCAGCTCAGAAACAAAGATATATAAAGTTATGCACAGTAAAAAGTTATGAAATGCAGGATGCAGCTCGACGCACTAAGGGGCTAATGTGCCATGAAGCTCGAGGCGGGCCCATCAGTTCTTATGGGAGAAATATATATTAATTTTAAGAAAATAAACAATTTATAAATGCAAAGAATAAACGATACATGTGATTTATATGATAGTAGTCATTTTGTTTTTGCATTTCTCTCTAATATGTTCATCATCCCAGTCACTGATCAAGTGAAAAAGCCATTATTTATCACTAGTATAATTAGCATGTAAAATAAAAGGGTGCAGTTGGCATACGGATGCATCCGTAGCTGTAGAGGTAAGGTGCACCTTCAAATTTTATCATGGTATACAATTTGAATGAAAAATGTTTTTAGGATTATTTCAAAATCTATTTTTATATCTAGTTATAAAATGTTAAATTTCAAAAGTGGTAAAAATCAAGAAGATCTATAAACATATGAAAATCTTGAAAATGGACGGTGTAGATAATATGCTGTAAAATGCACTATTTCTGAGACTTAAAATCTTTTTATTTGTCATGGTCATACATCTCGATGTCGAGATGATCAATCAAACGATTTTTCAACATTAAAACTACCTTTTCCAATAGAGTTTTGAGGTGCATCCGTAGTTCTACATTATAAGGTTGCATCCTTATATAAACTTTTTCCAAAATAAAAATGATCCAATCCATTCATCAAATAGGATAAAAAAACAAAAGAATATGTCAATATACCAAGAAGTTACGTAAGAGAACATGCATGGTATAATACTCTTAAAGAGAAATTAGAGAGTAGCAAATGTAGCATAGAAATACTAAGTACCAGGCTAGTAAAACCAAAATCCAGAAAAGCTGAAGATCAAAGAACATAAAAACAAAATAATCAAAACAAAAACAAAAGAAGTTCTATTTCTTAGCACAATCACCCCTTGGTGAGTTGACAATGTGCACCTGAAATCCTTTCGATGTGAGTTGAAAATAAACTTGGAAAATTGCCATTATAGGAGTTTTGCTCTTAAAAGAGAGAGGAGGTAGAGAGGCCAAAATAGCTCCGCTCATGGGCTATATTTCAATCCACAAGCAGTACAAAAATATACAGCTGCATTAAGCTTTCATGCAGCCGCTTATTCAGTCAATGCACTGACCTAGGTAGGGGGGGAATCATGCAAACCCAGCTAAGTAGGCCCAAGAGACATAGGCCACTTCATCTCAATGCGGCCGCATTTGATAACACACCACAATCTGATGCAACCAGAATCCAAGAGGACGAGAAATAAAGAGGGAGAATGCGCCAATCATTAATCAAGCTCTATAGCTCTAGAACCCTAGTGTTCCATTATAATTTCAATAAAATATCCCATTCTCCAAAAATTAGACAGATAATCATTAAGTCCCCCCAAAAAAAAATTAATCTCTGAATTCTAAATACCCTGCAACACACTATCCCAATACACCATAGGACATTATCAGCCATAGTCCAGACCCAAACCATTGTCCAGCCTAGAATATTCCTTAGATATTCCATATTCCCTAAATATCCCATCTTAAGAAATTCAATAATCCCAAAAATCCAAAATCCCATAAATCATAAACTTAGAAAACCCAAGTATTCCTTAAATATTCCCAAGATCTTTTAGATATCACAATTATCCCATTTTAGAAGCCAAATAATCCTAAATCCCAAGACTGGTATGTCAATACTTCAAAATCTCCCAGTAAGGAAACCATATTTCCAAATTAAGTCATTTCTATAACCTGAGAAGGAGACATCGCACATCGTCCAGATTCGATTAGACCACCACCACTAGACTCAGCTCGATGTTCTGCTCAAAATTATCAAGTAATAGGGAAGAGACGGATCAGCATCGAATATGCGGCACGGATGAAAGAGAAACTCCCAACACAAGTTGTGGTGCAGGACACGTGACACCTCTATATCTGATAAGAACCATCACCTTCCTATTTTGGGGTGTATTTTGCCAAATAAAGTCAACCTTCCAGCCATTTCAACAGACCTAGACCCGAACAGAGACCCTCTAATTCCAAGTCATAGAAACGCGACAACCCTCAAACCCTAGCTTTAGGCAACTAAAACCCTAGTTCTAGGAACCCTGCTCCAATCATTATCAGAGTTCAAGATAAGTCATTTTCAATCATCAAAAGCCCTAGATGTGAATTCCTAGGCATCTCTCTTCCCCGAAGCTCATTCATTCAATCGGATCATCAATTTTGAAGACCAACTCTCATGCCAAACGTAAGGGCCCAGCTTCCAAGTTCTTTACTTCCTTTTATTTTATTTTTTTATTATTTTATTTGCTTTACTGCTTTCCTTTATTAGTTACTATATTCTATTTCTTAGTAAATTCGCTCTTCTTACCTTTCTCATTTTATTCTCTTTATTTTCTTTGTCATTCATCTTTATTTTCTTTGATTAGCCCGTGAATATATTTTGTTCATCTTTATTTACCTCTATTCTTGTTTTCTAGCTTTCTTCATTTCTTCAATAGTTTATGTTTCATGTTCCTCTTTATTCCTATTTTATTTTGTGTTTATTTCGAATTTCACAGTATCTAAGCCGGCTCACTCGCAAATATGTAAAGGATAGGTCTTGCAAGACTGATTTCTCTGCAGATCTGAATTTGACAAGATCCACCTCTCTCGACTCTTTTAAATAACTAAGTATGCGCATGATCTAAGACATATCAAACTTCCACTAGTCTGGTCGGTCTCAGATTGGCGTGTACACACAAAGCAAACAATCTCAAACTCTAACAATTAATAAATACTAAAAACCGTAATTAGTCCCAAAATTATCACTATTTTCATGCCTCTACTTTAAACTAATACTTATGGCCTAAAATAGCAAAATCATGAAAAAAAAACTAGAATTAAAAGACTTCCAAAATTCAACTTGAAGCACAAAGATAGGACACATGAATAACAATTTATGCTCCTCAGACGATAACAGCATCACAATCGCATATATCAAATATAAGTCCCTGACTCAAAAGTAAAAGGAAAGATTAGACATAAGTATGAATGTCTTCTAGTATCCCTCAAATTGAGATGCCAATTTGGCATGTTTAAAGTTTGATAGATGCAAACATGTAATCTGGAAATTGTACAAGTGTGTCCACCTCCATGTAACTCTTTGTAGTCACAGCAACAATTGCTAATCAGCTTATACTTAGGGCTTTATTTCATCCTCTAAGTCCATATCCTCAAGAAACAAATAAAGGGCTGTAACCCGGTGCTGGTCCCGCCTACGCAGGGTCCCGAGAGGGGTGAGCTGGAAACGGTCCTTATCCTCAAGAAACAAATGACAATAAAATATAGGGGCTAGGTTGTAAAGTACTTGGTAAGTGCACCCATTGCAACGGCTCCACCAGTCACCCAACCAGTTTCTCTCTTAGGGTACGCTACTATAGCTTTTCAAAATCAACAATCACAAGTTAAGAGCTCAATTTCAGTGACTGACAATTCCCCAAACCCATCTTTCCTCAAGTTCAAGACCCCACAACCAACAAAAACAGAGCCCACAACCAACAAAAATAGAGATCAAATACAAGACCCCATGGCCAACAAAAACAGATCTCAATAATACAACACCCAAACTTTCCTCAAGTTCATGGGTCTTTTCTGATCTTTCCAAAAAAAATTAATTTTAAAAGGATTTCAATATATTTACCCAAAAAAAAAAAACACCCAAACTCAGTTTTGTGCACATATATCCCAGAACGAGAAAAAGCAGAGAACCAGGAAAAGCAGATAACCAGAAAAAGCAGACTCACCTATAAAACCTGCTCACTTCTAATCTCATGCATGAATATTTTGACCCCAATGGAACCCACTAAGCTCCAACCTTATGCATGAATCTATTGGCCCAATGCTTCAAATAACCACAAGCTTCATGTAGTCGCATGATTTCTTAGCCACCCCAATAAAATTTACAATTTAAGTATTTCTGTATAAAGACTGGTGATGGTCAAAATAAAAGATTTTAGAAATCTATATGACAAAGCATCCATCCTTAATGACATACTGGTTTTACATTGCTTTGTAGAACTGCTTGTATTCACTTGTATTCACATCATTGGAATTTTGCAAAATGCAATTAATTTATTTTTTACCTAAACCATTCATGAACTTCTGGTTGTTGAAACTCGACAAGCTGCCTTGCAGACCATATCATGATAATTCATATGGAAAAAGCACAAAATTATGAGGAATTTTTAGCATAACACCAAAATAAACCAACTGATTTAACTCATACATGTAATCTGAAAGAAGAGTACGGCAAAATCATTTCATACCATAATCATCAAGTGGTCGTTGACCGTGATCTCCTAAAACAGCAGTGACCAATTCCATTGATATGCACATACGATTTTTCTGGAAAACAAGAAAGAGTAATAAGAAGCTGTTGAGATCAACAGAAAATAAAAGGTCAGGCACATCCTAAACACCCTCCACAAATCACACATGATATCTACTTTGAATCAATAGTCATTATTTTTGTTCATGATGAAACAAAAATCAGTCAAAATGCACAAAGCAACAACAAATGTAGACCTAAAACGAACCCTATTTTACTTTTATCAGGAAACTATAAAAATAGTGAGTATCGACTCAAGTCAAAATACTAATGCATAATGCAATAAAACAAAGATTAAAAGAAACAGCAGTGAACATGTTTACAATGCAACCACATCAAAAAAAAAAGTGAAACAGATAATTAAAATAAAATATTCAAAAGAGGACAAGCCAAAAAATATGATGCTCGCAAACTGAGATGATCAAAACAGAAACCACAGTCGTAAAAATCCTATGCTTCTAGTGGATACACATTGTCCCAATAAAAATAATCTCACTAGCTTTCGAAACAAAAGCGCCATGAAGTCCTTATACTCATCCTGGGAAGCCAGAAAAGATGCCTAGTGATCCAAAATAGAGAGCCTTGACACCTTGTTAGCAAGACCCGACACAACCTCTTCCTTAAGGGAGTAGAGTTTTGCTCTCAGAGTTCCCAACTTTCAAGTAAACAGAAACATGTTCACACGCTAGCAGAAGATTCCATCCTAGTTAATAAATGGGGTTGCTCAATTCAGAGGCAGCCATTGAAGCCCCAAACAATAATGCAAGATGAATGCCCACTCTAATCAAATTTAAAAGTGATGGAGGGCAAAAGTTTTCTTATTTTGTATTTTTATTCAATTTCAATGATGTATGTTGTAGTTTTAGTTTTAGGATTTATTTATAGGGTTTTTAGGATTTTTAGGGTTTTTATTTTTTTATTTACTACTCATGTGTTACTGTTCATGTACTACTATTCACGTGTTATTATTCAGAGGTTAGTGTTCATGTGTTACTGTGCACAAGGGTATTTATGGAATTTCGGTATTGTTTTAGGGGGATTTTAAAGTATTAAATATTTACTTGAATCTCAAGTTAAATTAGGGTTTCATAGGCTTATAAAAGTTGGATCTCATAGTTTAGAGTAGATGTTATTGGAATAAATTTTATTTTATGAGAGAAAAAAGTTCTTCTTTTGACTTGATTTACAGCCATGTTCTTTTTCTCTTCTTGTTGATTTTACTTGTTGAAGGTTCCGGATAACAGTGGATTCAATTTCCCACTTGTATCAAGTGGTATCAGAGCAAGGTTCGAGGACGGCTAGAGATTGTGAAGGCTTGACGTGGAGGTCTTAGCCATAGGGATGCCGATTTGATCCGACTACGCAAGGAAATCAACAACTTGATGGAGAAGGTTATAGAGCTATAGTTGTGCAAACGGTGCCAAGAAAAGTGTCCCCTAAACGAAGAGGATTCTACAGGGATAGATCCAAATCGTGAGGGTTTTTATGAAGAATGGCACAAATCAAAGTCCAACTCAAAGTTGGAGCGGAATGATGACGCTACCTTCAACCACTCATTCTATGCAAGCGCTCCGTGTTGGGAGCTTCATGCTTGGGAGAATAAATCATGGGATTTAGTTGACTTACATAATTTGAAGGAAAACAAAGTTGATCTTGGTGTAGGTCGTATCGAAAGTCAGAGGTTGTAGATTGGGATCTGCCCCCAATTTTCGATATATACTTAGATGATGAACAAGATTTTGGAAGAGATCTAATCTCTAATGGTGATCAAGACTTCGTAGGTGAACCGATCTTTGACGAAGAAAAAGATAAAGATCTAGAACATCTAGGAGATTTAAGGCATTGGAATCAGAATAGCACAATGGCAGTGTGGTCAACTCAAAATCAGCAAATTGTGGCTCTGATTTCATAAAGTGATCAAAAAGATGTTGAGAAAACCTCTAAAGGACTAAAAATTGAGTTGGAGTATCTTACATGATTTCCAATGGGAGTTCACGAATATTTGAATTTGATAAATTTGCATGGATTCCTCATTATCCCTATCAGGACCCATTTCTTGAGGAATATTTTTTACCTCGAATAGTATTTGAGCCGACAAAGAAAAAGGTCAAAGAAGGTGGTTTTGATGTTGAGTTCATCTTAACATAATTCAAAACTCGAGGACGAGTTTTTTCCAACAAAGGAAGAAGGATGGAGGGCAAAAGTCTTCTTATTTTGTATTTTTATTCAATTTCAATGATGTATATTGTAGTTTTAGTTTTAGGGTTTATTTCTAGAGTTTTTAGGATTTCTAGGGTTTTTATTTTTTTATTTTTTTATTTACTATTCATGCATTACTGTTCATGTATTACTGTTCACAAGTTGCTATTCACGCATTACAGCTCACATGTTACTATTCATGTGTTACTGTTCATGTTTTACTGTTCACCAGGTATTTTTGGAATTTTGGTATTTTGGTATTGTTTTAGGGGTATTTTAGAGTATTAAATATTTACTTAAATCTCAAAGTTAAATTAGGGTTTCAAAAGCTTTTAAAAGGTTGGATGTCATAGTTTAGGGCAAATGTTATTAGAATAAATTTTATTTTATGAAAGAAGAAAGTTCTTCTTCTCTTTGACTTAATTTTCCGCCATGTTCTTTCTCTCTTCTTGGTGATTTACTTGATTCTGGAGAACGGTGGATTCAATTTCCCACTTTTTCTCGCTGCATTAAAAAGTTAGGCACATTTATACGTTGTTGATAGGTTGATTGGTTAATGAACCTTCTGAGACTAAGGAAAACGATGTCAATCTATTGGGAATATGTTTTCATTCCAAAACATAAAACTAGAAGGCCATGCTGTGATAATAACCCCAATAGAACTAAAAGGATAGCGACTTTCATATTCTCAGTACTAATACACTCTTTTTTCACACTTTTGGTGATGAAACTTGCAGGGTTGATTCAAAAAACTTGCAAGGTTGATTCTGGAGGAAAAACCCCCAAAATAGGGCAATTTTCCTAAGCCTCAGGTCCCCCTTCATTATCTACCCAGAATATCCACTGAGTAGAACCTCTTACTAGGTCACTTCAGTGGCCGGCTCAGGCTCAGGACCCTGGTAAGGCCAAACGTAAGTCATTGTTTACAAACACCACTCCCACTACTGGAAGCAAGAGAGGTAATTCAAAAAAAACAAGAGAAAAGATGTGTCAAGGAATTGATACACAGTTTATAACGTACAGCAATTATACCTCAAGAAATTCATTGAACTCTTCTTGCTTTTTCGCGGCATTGACACCCCATGCTTCATTAAACATTCGCCCAAGAACAAAAACACCAACAGCTGTATAACTAGATTATAGATTAGGGAAAACAAAGTTCCATCAGTTGCATGACATATATACATGTATATATGTGAGTGTGTACATACATACATACGTATATACACATATGACATATATACAAATATACATAGATATATGAATATATACGAATATACATGCATGTGTGTGTATGTGTACAAGCACGTGCACACACACACATATGTGTGTGTCCAATGGGGAAGACATCAAACTACCAGATGCCTTACCTCAAATGATAACATCGAATTATTGAAAATTTGACATTAGAAACTAATTTTCCTGGGAGTCAATCATACATGTTACCAAAACTGTTCTTTGCATATGCACCTCCCTCATGCCCCGCATACATAAAAAGAGACCCTGAGTGCTTCAGTGAAACCTGTGAAAAGGAACGACTTGTAGATTCTCTCATAATGAATCTTGACCCTTACAAAAGCTTCATCAATTCTTCCAGATTCTCTCTTCAACCATATATTTTTAAAAAAGTGTAAATATGGTACCACATCCAGACTTCAAGCATCAAAACTACTACTGCTAAAAATTACTAAATGGAGATTCAATTTTGCAATTCATAAGCAACAACCAAACTCCAAGAAATGAAGAAGAAAGAAGATTATATATTGTGATAATTGCATACCTCTAAAGTAGCCAGACCATTGGAAACCATCTCTATCATCCTTGTCCTAACCTATACAGAAAATATTATTACATAAATTTTTCTTTTCAAAACAAAAAAAAAGGACCAGCCAAAGCATGCATTCCCAAAGGCACATTCTAATGGACACGATAGTAGAATAGACACAGATAATTCCAAAATCAAATCCATAAACGATTTGGTTCTTTCATAAGTAAAGTTTGGAAAAGCCTCCTCACAAAATGTTCAATACACTGATAGTTGTTTTATAGGTAAAAGGGTCACAATTCGTTGAAAGCAGTGAATAAAAGCTTGTGCTGAGTAGGAAAAATTACCAAAATCAACTCCACTTGTCAAGTGGTTCAAATTCAAGTATAAAAAACTCAGGATACTTCCGAGGTTTCTCCTTTCGTATTACTTTCTACCTTAATTTGACCAATAAATGGTTTCTTCAAAGTGTTGGGTTTGTGCTATGACATAGGTCCAAGAGTCGCTTCCATTTCCAGCTATAGTCACTTTACTTTATAAATGTCTTCACCAAAAAAAAATTGGCATAAGTCCCCTAGTGTTCCGAGTTAAACCATTTAACTTGACAAGAAGTCTAATTTCTAGCAGTGAGTGGACAACTGATTCTGAATTTTGAGCACTTGTTGAGAGATATAGAGATGATAAAAGCTACAAAATTTAAGAAATATCACGCCAGCAGTCTAGCTGCTTATAAAGAGAAAAAAGAGCGAAGAAGTGTTATATTTCAATCATCTATGATGTGTCATATGGTGGATATAAATAAAAAATCTTAGAATCCTATCATCGAATGAATAATATTTGACAATTACTAACACAACATAGTATTGTTTAATGGTTCCAGTCATTTAAATCTACAGTGCAATGCTATAACATACCAATGAGGAACCAATGTAAAGGTCTTTCTACACCACGTTTGACAATTCCAAATGATTCTTTCTACGCCACATTTGACAATTCTAAATGATCCTTTCAATCAGTGTTGCAGTTACTCCAGAACAAAGAGGGAGCAGTGGTAAAGGTTATAGTTTTAGGGAAGATCCCAAGGCCTACAGGTTTAGATTGTGGAGTGAGAAGTATACTTTGAACGATAGAAAGATAGATGGCGATCCCCTTACAATAACACAGTTCTCCCTAACATGTAACAAGAATTCATTAACTTTTCCCCAGCCCCATATCACATACAATAGAAACCACTTGCATAAACTCAATATAAGAAATCAAGCCAACTGGAATGCTACATCCTAGTTGAGTACTAAATGAAATATCCATAAATCCTATGTGAGTTTCAACCCTCCTGAAGTAGGAACCAGCATGACATCTACAAGGAAAAATAAGCAACATCCAAAATTTTAAAATGCTCCCTATGATGCAATCTCAAATCACAACTTATTTAAAAAGGCATATGCATCACCCATATGATATACCTCTTGATCTGATTTCTCATTCTCGAACTTGGGATAAAAAGTTGCCCTGATCTGGGCTTGTGAATACGTATTCTTGTCCACGGTGAACTCCGCCCCCGTAGGTCCCCTTATCCCCCTCTGGAATACAGTGCTTAAGCTATTCTTCACAACCTTTCTGTCTGTTTCTTTATCATTTTTACTCTTCGTATCAGTTCCACTATCAACGTTAATGGTAGATTCTTCTACTGATTCAGCTCCACTTACAGTGGAATACGCTTTAGGCATCCATATGCCTTTCTGAACCTTGGTAGGAGAGGCAGGGGTAGTAAAAAGAGAGATGGTCCCATATTGTATTGGAGGAATAGAATTAATCGACCACTGACCAGAAGTCTCTGGCTGTTGAGAACAACAAGGTGAATCTTGTCCGCATGGATGATAATCCTCTGAAGCATGGACTGGAACAATTATTGTCTTCGGTCTTAAAAATTCCAAGTTGGTGTTTGAAGTGAGAGGGCGCTGGGATTCTGATATTTGTAACTGGCTGACATGGGTAGAGAGAGACTCATTTATGTTTTGCTTGGACATCTCTCTCCACTGTTGATCCCTCGTACTACTACTGACTCTTCCCTGTACAACGAATTGATACGACACAATCAGAGCAGGTTCCATTGAACTATATAAAAACCAGGAATTTTCATTAAAAAAATCAGCATAAAAAAGCTCAAAATATAGCATAAAAGGGCTCCATGGATTCCGGATAAAGAGAAGTAAGGATTTGCAGAAGCCACAGAACATGGATTTTGTAGAAGGTCATTTTCCTAGATTTGGATGACATCCCAAAAAGACCATGACGAAGAGTCTAAAGTAGTTTATAGAAACAACAAAAAACTCAGAAAAATATTGAAGAATAGAGATGTGAAAAAGGCACTATCCCTGTACAAAGATTGATATACGGAGATTCAACGCAGATTCCCATGAACTTCATCAAAATACGAAAAAGCACATAAAAAATTATAAATCTGAGCTCGATGGATTTTGCAGAAGGCGAAATGAATGAATCGAGCACATGGCCCTACTAAAGCTCAAGAAAACACAATAATCTTTGGCAAGAGACGGATTTCTAAAACCAGGAGGACCATCAAAAAGAAAAATATTTGTCCTAACATAGAAGTAGTAAAAAATAACGCAAGCCCGAGAGAGACAAAGAGAAAGCTCCATTGTCGATGCATTTATCGATTAATGGAGAGATAGAGAGAGAAGCTCCATTGTTGATGCATTTATCGATTAATGTACCTGATCACGATGATGTTGTTGATGCTGGCGATGGTTAACCATTGGAGAATGAGAGAGAAAGGTGATGAACCTGCGATGTGAGGAATGGGGGAAAAGAGGAGCAGAAAGACCAAAAGAGAGTTTTAGAGAGAGAAAACTTCGAGAAGCCGACATCCACTGGATTGTTGCGCTCTTTTCCTCAGTACTTATAATGTTGTTGCGAGTGCCCAGGCACAATAATCCCCTGCTTGTTGACACTGAAGCAAGTTTCACCATTACACGTTGGCCCTAGCCCTAAACATCGGTCCAAACTACCGCCTTACTGTTCTCTCTCTTCTCAACCGAGTCCGCTCCTCTACCCTCGCTGTCTGGAGACCGCCAGTCTTGCTTCCTGCTCGCAGTGTTCCCCCCTTTAAAATACTCCTCTCTCTCTACTGTTTGGCACGCTCTCACAAAGAGTTTGGTGCTCTCTCTCCTTTGCTAGAGGTGCTCATTGCCTTGACCCTCAAAAAAGTGTGATGTGATCCATATGATCATCGTAACCGTGATTACCGTCGGATGTATTTCGCTCCTGAGATGTGCCTTTTTGAGTGGGGATCTACTGCCCTGAACCGATTGGGCCCCACTTGGGTCATTGGAGCCGGTCAAGTCTGATCGTGTGTAAATAAAAAAATTTACTATATGTAATTTGCAGTACAAGTTAGCTCGGGCTTTATACATAATTACGAGAACCCCTCAAAATCTTACTTTGTGCACAACTTCCCCCAATTTAAGTTTTGTTAGCAATTTTAACCACACGTTGACATTCCTAACAAATACCCCCAGTCCAAAAAAAGGTCATATGAATACCAAAATACCCTCTAGAATCTAGAAAGCATATTGTCCAGTACAAATTGGGGGAGATCCGACACTTTGCTTCTGGAAAGCATGCGGTCCGACACAAATAGGTACAGTCTGACACTTTGGGCATGTGGTCCGGCACAAAATGGGAGACGGTCTAGCACTTTGAGCTTCTGGAAAGCATGTTGTCCGACACAAAATAAGGGCAATCCGGTACAAAATGGGGGTGGTCTGGCACTATGGGCATTTTCATCAAAAAAATATGACTTTTTGACTTGTGGGTATTTGTTAAGAAGTTCAATTTGGAGTAAAAATTGCTAAAAATAAAAATTGGTTGGGGCTAGGTTGTCTAGAAAGTCTCCTTTTCGGGGGGGCTTTGTAATTTATCGAACAATCAAAGTAAAGCACACGTTCAACTAGTATCAAGAAATGAGCTTTCAATACTCGAAATTTGAATAATAGCCTCAAAATATATTTTCATCTTTAAAATTTAAAACTTTAAAGATAGTGTAGATCAAATCAATCCATAAAAACTTGAAAATCTTGAAAATTGACAGTTCAAAAATGCGTTACAAGATGCACTATTTCAAAACTTGAAATTCATTTTTTTCTCATGTCCATGCATCTTGATGTCGAGATGATCAATTTGAAGATATTTGGGCATCAAAACAACCTCAGGGCTTCCTTCCCAATCCAGCAAAAGTGGTTTCGGTTTGATAGTCGGTGCCCTTTTTGGACATAGGAGCTATTTACCGAGATTCAAATCAATTGACAGTTGGAGGCCCCTTTGGGTCTTGTAACGCAGTCTACCAAGGCCTAGTCAGGTGCCTTTGGAGCTTGATCCTGAACTAAAGCATGTACTGCAGTGGGGGCCTTATTAAGGCTTGGGACCTATTATGTTAAAATGGTGATCTAATTTGGTAGTTGATAGGCCTTTGGGGGCATGTAACCCGATTTGTTTGAATGATTTTGTTTTTGTTGACTTCTTGGGGGGAACTTTTTGAAAGGTTGCCAGTCCAATTTACTATCTTGGTGATCTTTTTGACATTCAAGAGCCCTTCAGGGCTGACCCAAATTGTTGCAGCTTTTCAATTATTTTTTATTTAGTAGAGGGGTGCCCCTTTGAGGGGGTATTGCTTCCCAAGCTACCGAGCTTTTCAATTTGAGTTGGTTGAAGCCGCCTAGCGAATGTTGCATCAATATGTTTATTGGTTCAGTAGTTGGGTGCCCTCTTCAGGGGCATTGCCTCTTAATACTACTGAGCTTTTCATCTTGAAGTGACTGAAGCCGCCTATGAAGGCGAGCGCTACATTCACCTTTTTATTGGTTCAGCAGTTGGGTGCCCTCTTGAGGGGCATTGTTTCCCAAACTACTGAGCTTTTCAACTTGAACTGGTTGAAGCAGCCTATGAAGGCGATCATTACATCAACATTTTTATTGGTTCAGGAGCCCTTTTGAGTTTTCAAGTGAACTTGGTGGAAGTGGTGCCGCATAACGGTTTTCACCAACTCCTTCCTTGTTTGGATCTTTTACTCATGACTTCATGGTCACATCCATCTTTAACTACTTTTACTCATGATGATCATTATCGTACTTGCATCATGCTCGGTTTCATCTTTTTTTGGAATTTTACCCATGGCTTCATGGCCACGTCCGCCTTTCTTTTCATTTTTACTCGTGGCGCCTTTTCGGGTTTTCACCATGTCGATTTTTTTTCTTTTTAAGCTCTTTTACCCATTGCTTCATGGCCACATCCGCCTCTATTTTCATTTTTCTGATAATGTGTGATGAGATGCATGGTGAAGGGTGGGAAAGTCCCCTTATTATTGATGATATAGATGCAAGAGTGGATTTGAATAAGATTTTGGGATGAATGGGTATTTTAGGTGGTTTGAAGAGGGTCATAATGGAGTTGTGGATGGTATGACCATGGAAACATGGTGGTTTTGATGCGACATTGAAGGGTTTAAACGACACATGGAATGGATGGACTGAAGACAAGGGAGTCATGAAGGGTGCGACTCGACTGGGGAGATAAGGTAGCTGATAAAAGTATGGGCACCCATGTTGAATTGGATGGTTGTGATGGAAGTGAAGATGAGAGTGAATGGATGCAACTCCACTGGGGAAATGAATACTTGATGAAGACCCAACTAGGGATCCATCTGGGGAAAATGGAGGTTTGATAGAGTTATGAGAGATGAGGGTGTGGATAAAGCTAAAGAAGGATGTAAAGGTATGAAGATGAGGGAAAGGGGATGGTAGTGGGGAGATGAAGAACATGGGGGGAAGTGAGAGGGAAGAAGGAGATAAGGGAGAGAAGAGGTAGAGGAAGGAAAGAGAGAGAGAGAGAGAGGAGACTGGCATCTAAGCTGACGGGCTCGTGAAAGTGAAAGAGAGGAGAGGGGGAGAGAGAGAAGGAGGAGGCTAGCCCTCATGAGAGTAATAGAGGAGAGAGAGAAGAAGGGGAGAGAGAAGAAAGGAGACTGGTAGCCAGGGCGCAGGTCCTGTGAGGGAGAGGGAGAGAGGGGAGAGAGATAGAAAAAGATGGGGGGTCTAGCTCCCCCTTTCGGGCATAGAACCCCCGCCTCCAAGGCCATTTTTGGCTTCAAATAAGCCATTTTCAACTAGGTCGGGCCATACCTTCGCAATGGCCTTGTCTCGCATCCTTTGGATGTCATTTGGGCCTTCAAAACGGCGTTTGAACAATAATGGCCCAGAGTAAATTTTGACATGTATGCCTTTGTGTAAGGGCAGGTGAAGTCTTTTTGCTTCTTGCATTTGACTTGAATGACCTTCATCTTCTTCCAACTAACCCTTTCTCATGGACTTGATGGGAATAATGGCTTCGTGAAGAGTTATAGGAGAAATGGCCCATTTTTACTCATTGCCTTGGAACAATCCCCTGGCTTTGTCAGCTCAGAGTATCCAGTATCCAAGTCATGCCTGTAAATTAAAAAGGGCTTTAAATGACCTTAAGCAAGCACATCAGATTTGATCAATTTATTGTATACTTAGTATCATTGGGGTTTTATTGTAGCATAACTTATTTATCTCTATTTGTTTGTCGCAATCCTCAAGGCAATATTATCCTTCTCCTCTATGTTGATGATATTATTATTTTAGGTGATGATTCCAATATTCTCTAATGATTTATTTTCCAACTTGGAAAAGAATTTGCAATGAAAGATCTTGAACCTCTTTACTACTTTCTTAGCATAGAAATATCTTATTTTTTAGGTGGGATCTTTATGTCACAAAGCATATATGTCAGAGATCTTCTTGATAGTGCCCAGATGCTAGGTGCCAAACCTATTTAAACACTAATAGCAGTGAAGGATAATGTTCACGGGAGATCTAATCCATTCCTTGATCCATCTCTTAATCATAGTAGTATTGGTGCACTGCAATTCATTATTATAACACAACTTTTCCCATAGTTTTAATACAGTGTGTCAAATTATGCATGCCCCTACAATTGCATATTTTTAGGTAGTTAAGTGAATTATTTGGTATCTCAATGGTATACAATCTTAAGGTATATGAATCATATCTGCTAGTTCACATGAGTTATATGCTTTCTCAGATGCAGACTAGACTGGTATCCAAATACTCGTCGTTCAACCACTAGTTTTTGCTCCTATATGGTTTTATTTTCATATATTGAAGTATTAGTAAACAATCGACTATGGCTTGTTCAGGTGCTGAAGCTGAATATCGATATATGACATCCATTGCTGTAGAATTAACATGGCTTTCTTCTGTTTTTCGAGACATTGGGGTGCCATTTCCTCAGCCACCAATAGTTTTTTTGTGACAAATATTGGGTGTATTTTCAGTCATATACTAGGCTAAATACATTAGAACGAATGCTCGGTAGAGTTTGAGGAGATATGAGCTTTAATGATGAATGCTTGAAGATGTGCCTTGGGTTGAGTATGCTTCTAGTCCTGATATGAGGCTAGGTGCATTCTAATCAACATTTGACAAAGATATCAACATCGAAAGTGTTGAACCGACGCTTGAGAGAGGGATTGATGTAAGTGTAAAGTTTGTAATGAATGCTGGATAAGTGTGTTGGAAATATGGCCTATCAAGGCTTAAATTCCAGTAGTCTCTCATTCAGTGGGAGTGATTGAGATATTGAAATCTTAACATCCTGTGAAATGGAGCCCATATTCTTTTACCCCAAGTACGCATGAGGTATCGAGAGTTCACGTGTTGAGAAAGCAATTTCTCAAGGAGGTGTGAGGGTTACCTCCTAGTCAGGATTTTATAGGTTAGCCTCATGTTTAGCTATCATCGGTCAGGGCTTGGATAATCCAAACGAGAAAAATATAACCCGAGTACTTAGTGAATATTTGCCTTGTATGAAATGGTCAAGACTTGTGAGACATAAATCTATATTCTGACACGAGACCATTACATGGCTTGTGCATTTTCATTTCATATGGGAAGTCGCTCTTCCAAATGCGTTATCATAGCTTAGAAGAGCTAGTGCACATGTGCTTTGAGATGACCCCTATAATTGAGTTAGATCATATCCCACAGGGGAACACCTGTAATCTATTGAGAGCCGAATAATTGCCAATTCTGGCTCAGCGGCTTTGATATGGTCAATTATGTGTCATTACTTTAGACTGT